GACTACTACTACGACTGCGACTGCGACTGCGACTGCGACTGCGACTGCTACTGCTACTGCTACAAATCCCGGCTGGGCAGTGGCAGCTTCTGGGTTGAGACATGGGCGGCAGTTGCAAGGCTCATGTTGAGGCAAGGAAAGGTGGTGGGACAATAGAAATGTAGTGTAAATACCAAGTCACATGGAGGTGCCATTAAGAAGGCAGTTGGTAGAGGGGGGGGTGGCTAATAGTATCACAACAGTATCACTCTTCTACCTCTTCTACTACTTCTACGACGACGACTACTCCGAGTCCAAGTCCGGCTGCGCATCCACTGCGACTGGGGGCCCGCGGACCTCTGACGATGGATCTCAGACTGGGACGACCACGACGACGGATAGTAGAGTTACTAATGCTATGACGACCACACGACAGTCTATCTTTGCATCGCCGCTGCCAATCTTGCAGGGCCAAGTTTGCAGAGCTTGGTGGTGGAAGAGACACGCAGGTGCCTAGCCTCAGATTCCCGGCTTCTCACAGCTCTTCCCGGACGTGCAAGTGTGCGTGGCCCGTATTTCTAAGACCGCAACAACGACTTACAAGCACAGACGGTGACAAGACAATCACACCAGCAATCGCAGATTATGGTGAAGCACGACAAAGTTCACGATCCCTTCTTCACCAAGCGACCTGGGCTGCATATTGGTTCCGGTTTAAGGACCGAACCTGGCAAAGCAAGTTTCATTGTTCCTGGCATGCGTCGTTCAATCACCAGGCATCAGCAAGGCTGGTGGAAAGGCCGGGACGTGAGGATGGCCAAGACCTTCTTCAAGCCCCTTGCGTGCGCTTTGCAGCGGAGGGGGCGATCAGTGGCGAGGATGAATCGCTTACCGGAGAAGAGGTACTACCGAAAAGAGTCCGACAATTCGGAATATTCTTTGGTGCCACTGGCATGTTTTGTAGCTCAAGGTTCTGCAGCCCTGTGCAGGGACAAGATTCGCAACTCTTGAAGTTGGTTTCGTTTGCGGTCCTCGATCGGTATGTCTGTAATGTGTATCGAAACACCAGCACGAACCTGGGTTTGCTTGCGAAGATAAGTAAAGAACGTCCCCATGTTGTCTTGTAGCTTGAAGCAGCAGTCTGGATAAATGTGCTATCAACGTGAAAGCTGAGCAAGGAGCCGTCAAAGATTTTCTATCAAGGTGGGGGGCAGAACCGATCGTGCCTCCGGCTACAGGTCTATGTCAACATCCTCAGCGGAATCACCCATCAGGCAGCCCGAGTGTGTATGCAGCAAGTGTTGGAGCAACCGACTCTATGGATTTCTTGCTCAGCGAGTCAGCGCTCCCGGGGAGTACTCGTACAGTCCAACAGTAACCTCCATGATGGCCCCCTAAACCCCCAAACCCCCTTGCTCACAGTTCGCAGAGTTCGCATCGGACTTAGGTCCGCATCACAATGAGAAGTGTTGGGCATCCCTTGGTCTCCGATGACCGCTACCTTCCAACGAACGTTGCGCCTGGTCGGAGTTAGAGCGAGGGTGAGGGTGAGTGCCGCCTCGCATCGCTGCAGCGTGGAGCCTAAGCGACGTGGCATGAAGAATCTTCATGATCTTAGATCATGACAGCACAGCGAACGATATTATGCCGGGCCAGCGCATAATTCGACCACGCAAGCCGGCACGAGCCAGCCCACAGGCTGAAGTTGAGAGCGTTACATGAGCCTTGCGGTGATGCCTCAGGCTATAGAAGATGCCGACTGGTGTCCCAGAAACTTCTTGGTCGAAGTGCGATCGGACTGGTTCGACATGTCAGCCTGCCCTGATTGCTTCAGCATGACAGCACTGATGTCAAAGGTAAGTTGCAGGGGTGCCTGGTAAAGATGCAGCAGCGTCAGCGTCAGGTGCGGGCCATATCCAGACCGCAAGCGAAGGGCATACACCAGGAGCCCATGGAACAATCTGGAGTCGTACTTAGAAGGGCCAAGATTCTCCAAAGGGTAGAAGATGAATTGAATCTAGCTTCATTTTCATCAATACCGCTGACTGACCCAGACATGTGCCGTGGGAGGATCTCAGTAGAGAATCCTCTGCCAAAGCTTTTCCAAGATGTCCTGGAAAAGAAGCTGGGAGCCTAAAGAGCCTCTGCTGTTGCTTGTCATTGTCACGGGGCACACACCAAAGCTTGAGACCACTTGCTTGGTTGAGGCTGAAACTCACGGAGAAGCTGGACGCCGAAGCAGACCTCTTCTTGGGCTCCAGGTGACTATGCGCCTGAGAGATGGGGTTGTCAAGGACATCCCTCAAAATCAATCAGGGGTTGAGGCAGTCGTACTCGAGGTCGGTCACTTGAAGCAGTTGAAGGTCTTGGGTTTTCGGCCCGCGATTGCAAGCTAAAGTGGCTCTGGCTTCAATGTGCTGTTCATGTTGTCGGTTAGGCCGCTGGGCCATTCCAACTCCGGTATGACAGCAAATGTTCGTCAGTTCCATGTGCAGTGGATGTGCCAGGATCTCTGGAGCAGTCTTCGAGTCGAAAGCAATTCCAAATTGCCGAGGTTGAAACCACTCGTGTCTTCCTTCGCGAAACAGGTACTGGGCATTGGGTGACGAGATGCTCATGGCAGACTTCCCCAAGGAGGGAAGCTTGCTCGGCGGGCTTTGAACATCCTTTCTTCTCCATTTTACGCTGCAATAGTAAGCCTTGCAGGCAGCATGTTGAAGCCATTGTTGCTGAGCTTTCCGGACTTTTTGACGGTGGAGCTGAAGTCGGGGTCTTGTACTCGCACTCTGATGCAGGATACCGAGTATCGCAAGAAGGTGCGCGCAGCTCATCTCATGCATCCGGTCCTGTAGGCAACCGCAGGCCTGATGAGGCTTCCGTCATGGGCACCCCTTGCAGGCTTCCTGGAGTCTAGTCTAATCTAGTAATGTCTGCAGCTCAGGACTCCGGTATGCTTCGGTTGCCGTTGGCATTCTGCAGGTCATGCGTTGGGGCATCCGTCGAAAGATTCATCTTGACGCTCTTGACCGGCTGCTCCTGCTCAGCCGAGAGGACACCTTCACTCGCCCTTGCTGTGATTTGCTGTGTGGTCAGGAGCCAGTGCATAGAGTCATAGAGCATGTCGCATGTCCATCGCACCGCTGCCGGTGCGATCTCATCACATTGGGCGATCGACTCTTGTTGCATGGATATGAAGGCCATCCGCCAGTCGGCCTGCAACTTGCTACAATGGTCACAGTTGCGCGCCCTTTCTGGATCGGCAACAACCGGTGATGCTGACTTTGCCTCTTCGCTCACATCCCCCATCGGAAGGATATCGACCGCATGATGGCTGAGTACAAGCCCCCAGCAGAAGACGAGGTGCTTGACCTTCCCAGCCGAGTAGTGAAGGGGACCAGGGGATTAGGCAGGTTCAGGATTCGGTTCCCCGTTGTGTCGTGCATGCTGTTCTGTGCCTGAACAGGAAAGCTGGGTGTGCCCCCTTTGCATGAGCTTGAACCAGCCGTGTTCTCAGTTCTCCTTTCTTGAACTTGGGAGTCTTTCACAGAATGTCCATGCCAGCCGAGGAAGGACAACTGGAACGACGGGTACCATTGCAAGGGCCATCTTGGGCATTCCTGGCTTCTTTAGCTCGATGTAGCCTTGGCAGTCGGGATAACCTACGAGGTATCTCTCTTCTGCCCACTTCGAACCCCCTGCGGTAGCTCGTAGCCAGTGTGGCATTCACAGGAATCTCCCGGAATTAAGGGTACTTATTGGTTCACCACTTTACTTCCAGGCCTCCTAAGCAGCTGCTGCCACCTCTGTGCCGAGCCAAAAATGGTGCTATCCACCAAAATCACACCAAAAGAGCTGTGACTGGGTCCGTCTCGAACAAGAAGATAAAATCTTGAACGTGTACGTAGGCCAAGACGAGAGTCCCAGGAACTCTGTACAGTCAAGTCAGATTGTCTGGATTGGTCAAGCGGATGACCCGTCCGTGACACCGCAAACACGGAACCCCAGCCATTCCACGAGCACAGTGTGCAGTCCTCCTGCACTCCAGTCAATCACTTTTGTCTTGAAGAAGGCGAAGCATAGGACAACGCATCCAGCAAATGCTGTGACAGGCGGAGTTGTCATGGCACATTGAAGATGTCCGAGGACAGAGTGGGAATGCCGCCATCTTGCGGTCTGTATGTTAGCAACTGTTAGCACAGTACACCTGGGATTCGGCTTGCAACTGCGGTTTGGCAGCAGGGTTCCGTGCTTCAGGTGCGATTCGACTCATGAGCTTCCCGATTGCCCATGAATCCGAGCAAGTCTTCGTGTTACTGCCACAGCTCCCCACAGGACACAAAGCTGCCTTATGGGTTAGGCCCTCAACTTGCCATTTTGTGGTCAGTGATATTCTTTTGAACTAGTCATGATCGATGTCTGCTCTGTAGTATACGTCCAGGTCAGACTGCTGGGAGGGTTTGCGCTTGGTATCAACTTGGTGTGCTTGGAGCACACGCATGGTCCGTCCTGTTGTATGCAATGCCCATGTAGTTTCACAGGACGAACGCGGAACAGAGGCAATCCGTTCCTCCGACCAGTATAATACTCAGTATAATTAACCCCCCACCTTGATACAAAAACCTAAGAGCATTTGGCCCAGAATGAGCCCCAATAGTAATCTTACCAATACGACAAGGCGAACGTGGGACAGCAGGGTCTGCGGCCGGCCCAAGGAACACTTTAGAATAAAGCACTGAGCAAGGTGAAGGAAATTAGGATTTGATGTTGCGGGCGCGGGAGGGGGGGTATTCGCGGAGGGGTTAGTGAACTTCGAATCTTTTTGACTGTGAACCACCTTGAAATTATCTCAGCCAGTAAGAAACGGCGGCATGCGCCAAAACCTCCTAGGAGGCATGCGGAAAAGCGTTTGCGTGAGAGCTGTTCGTCTCCCCAAGGTGGAGGGACTACCTCGCAGACCCAACTTTGCACATGCTGAAGAAGGTGAACCCACTCTGGCTGGAGGCCAAGCGTCATCGAGCTTGTAAGTACTACCAATTTCTTTGATTGTGAGGAGAGAGGAGCAAAATGCAAGTCATATGTTATATTCATGCACAAACCAGTAGCCGCTGTTCTTGCTTGTGAAGCTTCCTCCTTACGTCAGTTTTCTCAGATGTGACCTCTTGCCTTGATTTGGTGGTGGTCTAGCCTGTGAGTCGATGACGACTGCATGAGCAACAAGAGTGCCAGGGGCATGCACGTGTCCGATAGGGCCATTGGTAAGGAAGCAAGTTTCACATGGTTCTTTTGCCCTAAACCCATATGCGGATGAGAAGAGGTGTGCACATGCTGGCATATGCTCGGAGGGCATGACTTCAAGTGGCTTAAGGCTTGAGGCTAAGGGCTTCGTACGGGCTTCAAACTCGAAGCTCGCAAGAGAGTTGAAAATTACGCGAAACATCAGAGCCCCGTGCCTTGCTTCTGCCATGAAAATGACGATGAGGGTTGTTCTGCTGATAGCGATGATGGTGTCGAAGACGGAGAATACGACTTTGATGATGATGGGGGCTATGGCGATGATGATAGTGATGATGACACTAGCTCTTATTACTACAACGATGGTGATTGCGATGACTATGAATATGGAAGGTCGTTGTTGATGCTGGCGCTGATGCTTATGCTGTTGCTGTGGCGGTGGCTGTTGCTCCTGCTGCTGCTGCTGCCGCTGCCGGTGCCGTAGCTGTTGCTGTCACTGTGACTGTGGCGGCTGCCGTTTCCGTTGCCGTTTCTTGCTGCTGCTGCTGCTGCTTCTGTGTTGGTTTGCTTGCTTGTTTGCATGTTTGTTGTGGTTGTTGTTGCTGTTG